AGCCCCTCGGGGCACTTCGGCCGGGACGCGGGCCCCCGGGGCGCACTCTGGGGCTCCCTGCCCCGCCAGGCGCCGTTTGGTGGGGGCGCGGCCCCGGCCCGGAGAGGCTCACCGGTGTCGGACGGGCGAGGACGTGGAATGGGGCAAAAGCATCTCCAGAGAGCTGGCTCCAAACCATTCCCACCGTCCACCGACTTGGAAAGTTCCGTGCACCGACTTGCAAAGTTCGCCTTGGGCTGCCTCAGGAGAGACAGACCCCGTGGAAGGGGTGTCTGCGCGGTGGCGCAGTTGAGAGCAAAGCCCGCCGAAGAAAGTGCTTGGTTAGGGGGAAGTGCCACAAAAGGCCACAGATTTCTGCCCGCCCCACCCCCCTCCCCGAAGCTTGCCTTTTGGGCTCACCAGAGGCTGCAAACAGGCCCCTCAACTTACTGTCTCGCCGCACCCTCTGCCCACCGGCCTCCTCCTTTGGGCTTTTTTTCACCTTCTCCAACAAGAGCTGCTTTTTTTTTTTTTTTTTTTTTAATGTTTGTTTTTGAAACAGAGAGGGGGCGACTCGGGGAGGGATAGAGCGAGCCGGAGGAGACCTAGAATGTGAAGCACGCTCCAGGCTCTGAGCTTGTCAGCACAGAGCTGGAGGCGGGGCTCGAACTCCCGAACTGATCGTGACCTGAGCTGAAGTCGGAGGCTTAACCCACTGAGCCACGCAGGCGCCCTCAACAGCTGCTTCTTAAGGAAACTTATCGAAACATGTAAATACCAGATGAGTCTTCAAAGCTTCCTCAGAGCTCAGAGATATCTGCATTTTAACTGAAAACAAGCTTAAAAGAATGAAATGGTACTGATGGAATTTCAGGAAGAGGGGATGTTTCTGTACTTGGGTTGGGATGGTCCCTGTGTTCCTCATTCCGTGGCGCACAGTGCCAACTCCGAAGACTGGCCTTGGCTCTGAATTAGACAAACAGCTCACAGTCTTAACCACACAGTTGAAGCCTTAGAGGTGAACAGCCGGGATTTTTGCCTTTTTTCTGGGAGGCCCGGCTTACCTGGCAGCTGACAAGCCAGATGGAATCATTCTTCTCATTGAGTCTCTAGCGTGCATGACCTAGGCTTGGGAGAAGTTACCTTCTCTTCCCCTGGGAAGGAAAGGTAGTGAGATCCTGGGGCATTTCTCTCAAGGCTCTCTTGCGACATGTGGCCTGATGTCTGTAAACAGTTCTCTGAGGGTTTTTTTTTTTTTTGTAAGTTTTATTTATCCTGAGAGAGAGTGCGAAAGCGGGGGAGAGAATCCCAAGCAGGCTCCCTACTGTCAGTGCAAAGCCCGACACAGGACTCGAACTCAGGAAGCTGGAGATCATGACCTGAGCGGAAGTCAGACACTCAACTGACTGAGCCACCCAGGCGCCCCAGTTATCAGAGTTTTAATGACTCCAGTCCTCCCTACTTCCCTCCATTCTCCACAAAGTGGTATGGAAATCTTACTTTGGAATGTGTACCAAGGAGAAGGGGGTGGAACTTTCAAGGCTGGTTGAAGTATTGTCAGCTGTTCTGGGGACAGCCTTCCTCTGAGAGGAAGACCTTTTCCTCTGTGGGAGGTTCTTCTAGCTGAACTAAGAAATTGACGTGAAACAGATTAAGGGGAGAAAGCCAAACTTAATTTCCTATGTATGTTCGGGAGTACACACACACACACACACACACACACACACACACACGAGATTGCAAAGACTGGCAAAATGAGGTAGAGATGTCACTCCGAACTAAGGAGAAGGAGGTGTAGGGGTCTGGGACTAAGAGTAAAATGTTTGGTGAACAAGTGTTTGCTGGGCCACTCAGAAACAAGGGGACTTAGGAATTTTTTTTATTATTTTTAAAGTTTTTTATGCATTTATTTATTTTTGAGCGACAGAGCATGAGTGGGGGGAGGCAGAGAGAGAACAGAACCTGAAGCAGGCTCCTGAAGATGATGAAGCCTGCCCTTGGCCCCACCTAGTATGTATAGACATCATTGGATTTTTTTTAACAGCACCATTGAGATATTGACCTATAAAAAGTGTATATGTTTAAGGTGTATGACTCGATGTTTTGATGGACGTTGTGAAATGATCGCAATCAAGCTAACCAATATATCCATCACCTCTACGTTGTGTGTGTGCGTGTAGACGCACACATTGGATTTCTACAATTCCTGCCTCCTGCCCTGTAAGGTCCATAAGGTGGGAAGCATTATGCCCATTTTACAGATGCAGAATTGGGCTCAGACTGGCCGCACCACTCCTCAGTGATCGAGCAGAGAGCCCCGTCACCTGACCTTCTGCCTCCAGATCTATTACTCTATTACATCATGCTGCCTTTCTGTCTGCATTCATCTGACATTAATTTAGCCAGGCTTCATTAAGTACCCGCTGTGTGCGTAATGCTGGGGCCACGCAAAGATGAATGGGGCGCGGTCCCTGTGCACCAGAGCTTACAGAGTGATAGAAGAATAAGACTAGTGTGTCTGTAGCGTGTGGCTGAAATGCTATAGAAATTCACGCTTCTGGGGCGCCTGGCTGGCGCAGTCGGTAGAGCGTGCAACTCTTGATCTCGTAGTTGTGAGTTCCAGCCCCACGTGGGGTGTAGGGATTACTTAAAAATAAAATCTTAAAAAAAAAGAAAAAGAAAAAGAAATTCACACTTCTGATGAGGAGAAAATGTGAAGACTTCACAGAGGAAGAAAGCCATCTGAGTTTGGCCTTGGGAGAACGAGGAGGAATCTGCTGGCAAAGACGGGGAGAAGGAGGTTGCAGGTAATGTCAAGAGCAAGGGCACAGAGGCGGGGAGGCATGTAGCATGGCTGGGACACAAGGTGGGTCTGCAGCAGTAATGGGAAGTACAGCCAGAAAAACAGGTTAGAATGAGACCTCAGAGTGCCAGGTTAAGAAGTCTGGTTCCGCACGGCCAAGGTTAGGCGTGGGAGATTTTTGAGGAGGTGGGGGGTGGGTGTGATGATGAAAGCAACTCCACGGGAATTACTGTCATCTGGTGGCAGGACCAGTTAGGGACCTGTTGCACTAGTTCGTGTAGCAGCTGAGGGCACCTGAGACAGGCTGGTGACTGGGGGAGGAAGAAAGAGATAGTTACCCGGGCTAAGTTTGCTAATAATTTTTCCTGCGCGATTATTTTCTTTCTGGAAACTAAAAGGAAGTGTTTCAGTGAGTGGCTAGGCATAGAAAGCCAAGTGGTTGATTAATCATGGTGCCATCCTTCCTACATAAAGATGATACCTTTGGCCCAGCATCCTACTGACTCATCTCTACTCTTTCCTGGCCATGGGTTTGTGAAAACAGTTGGCGGAGGTTAATGGTATAGCCTATGATCGTGGGTTTGAACAAAGCGTAAGCATCCAGAATGTTCAGGAAATGGAGTGGTTAATTGACTTGCCCCCAGAGAGAATTAATGGCAGAGTTGGAGCTTGAACCCGGGTCTTCTGGCTCCTTAGTCCAGGGCTCTGCCCACCGTCATCTGTCTGCTCACTTGAATTTCTGATCAAAAGTCCACTCCATAGTCTTTTAAGAGCTAGGTCCTTGCAATAAATAGTACGTAACACAGTAGATGGCTTTCAAATACATCAAATAGTAGATGCTCATCCAACTTTACGCCACGACTCCTCGTCTAGCTGTATAAACATTGGCCTGGGTCCCTGCAACACTGAAATAGTTCATAACCAACACCACCTCTTTATTGTATAACCACGTCATGAGCTTGGGTCTGGCTGCTAAGCTACGTTAGGTTGAAGCTCTACCTACATATGTCCAGGGTGTGTGAAATATCATTGTGGCTGAAAGGCAAGGGTCACTGCTGTTCACCAGCTTACCCAGTCTCCCTGGGAAAAGCTTCTGTGCTTGCGTGGGAAGCGAGCTGGGGGAGGAGAGCAGAAAGGGGGCCACTGCCGCCCCAGGCAATCAGACAAGAGCTTAAGCTGATGTCATCGATGGCCTATCAGGGTTGCCTGCCTTGACTCTGCAATTCTAAAGGGGAAGGATTGGTGGTCATTGCCTGTTCAGATGGTAAGAGCCTGAGAAGAAAGGACTCCTTCCTCTGGTTCCTTTTAATTTTGGAGATTTGACAGGAAGACCCTCCTTTGTAAACCAGACTGATCAAAGACAAGGTTCCTATTCCTAGTCCGTCAAGGTATTCAGTGAACCAAGGGCCTGTTTCCCCTCCTGTTGCCCCGTGGGTCACTGCTTTGGCAGGACTGTTGAGCTCTGTTAGGACCTATGCTGGGCGCTAGCACCGTGTCTGGCACGTTGTAGATGTTCAATAAATGGGGAATGAATGAATTCAGGCCCCGGAAGTGGCCAAGTGGGATAGGGAAAACGGTGAGGCGATGAGAATGAATGGTGTTTCTTTTGGCATTTCAAACTCCCACCTTCGTCTAGATCCGTTCCAGCTTGCCGTGGGCCGCCCTTCCGGTCGAGCATTTCCATTTCCTCTGTCCCCCCTGCCCTTCCTCAGGGTCCCCTCCAACCTGACTAGACTGGAGAGAAAAAAAAAAAGGGAGGAACAAGGAAGTGTCCACGCCATGAAACAAGTCAATGGTCCCTTGGCGAATGCCTGCTATAGTTACTGCGACTTTCAAAAGCAGCTGGTTGGGGTGCCTGGGTGGCTCTGTCGGTTGAGCGCCCGACTTCCGCTCAGGTCATGATCTCACAGTTCATGAGTTCGAGCCCCGCGTCGGGCTCTGTGCTGACAGCTCGGAGCCTGGAGCCTGCTTCGCATTCTGTGTCTCCGTCTCTCTCTGCCCCTTCCCCGCTCATGCTCTGTCTCTCAAAAATGAATAAACATTAAAAAAAAATTATACAAAAGCAGCTGGTTAACTCACGAGTGTTTCTTTTCTTTTTTAAGTTTTCCATTAGTGCGGTTAAGGCAGGTTGACAAAATGAAGTTAAGACTTTCCTACAGTTTGAAGGAGATGCTTTTAATCAATGAGTGTTTACCTGGGCGCCAAGGAAACCTTCCTGGAACCTCTTCAGTGACTTCAGGACATGCTTCTTTGCGGGAGATTTAAAAGCCAAAGTACTGAGGATGCTCTCGTTGTTAAAAAGATAATAATAATTTTATTTTAGCCTAGCCCCATTCACTTTCCTTTCAGTCAAACCCTTGATATTTCTCTCCCACTCCCCTACCCCATTCTCTGGCAGAGAATATTGTTTTTCCTGGTCTCCAAGCGCTTTTTGATTTTGTCCTCATCAGCAAGGAGTAAAATTCCTTTGCTTCCTGGCCAGGGAATGGGTACTTCTGCCAAGGTAGGCCCTCATGACTAGGGGATGCACTGCTTCCAAAAAGGGGCACCTGGGTGGCTCAGGCGGTTGAGCGTCTCTGCCTCTTGGTTGCAGCTCAGGTCGTGATCTCGCGGTTCGTGGGTTCAAGCCCCGCATCGGGCTCTGTGCTGACAGTGCTTGGGATTCTCTCTCTCTCCCTCCTGCTGTCTTCCTCTCTCTCAAAATAAATAAATAAGCTTTAAAAAGTTAAATAATAAACAAGTAAATAAAGGGGGGGAGAGAGAGAGAGAGAGACTGTAACACAGTGGCTTTCTGGTTGGCATTTGGAAAAGTCCACCCAAAGCCATTTTGGACTCCATTATAAAACTGTAGAGAAACACAAACCCCGTGTGCCCGCCACGCGGAAGTAACAGTACGAGCGACAGTATGAAAGTATAAAAGATACTTCAAGTATCTTCTTTGTTTTAATACAAGAAAATACAGTATTACTAAGAAAGCTGGAGTCCTGTTCATTCTCATTCCCAGCCCCTTCCCCCCCTCCACCTTCCTGGAGGTCTATTTTACACATTTTTATATGTATCTACGCCTCTCAATGAATGATACAAGGTATGATTTTCATGGGTGTGTTTTTCAGCGTAAATAGTTTCTTAATTGTCATACACTGGAAGTCAGCCTGAGACTTGCTTTCTGCACTCAACTTTATGCTTTCAGGATTATCCACGTGAATACATAGTTGCAAAGTCATTTTAACTACGGTATCCATTGTATGAGCGTGCTACAATTTATCTCCCTATGAATGGACTTGTAGGTTGTCTGACTTTTCACAGCAACAGTGTCGTATGTGTCCTCACATGTACATGTGCAGGAGTTTCCCCAGGGGATGTGCCTAGAAATGGAATTTCTGGGGCGAAAGGCTTTCTTTCAGTTGTGCTAGATACTACAAAGGGGCCGTACCAAATTTACATTCCTTTTTTAAAAATGTTTATTTATTTTCAAAAAGAGAAGAGGGAGAGGGGCACCAGGAGGGACAAAGAGAATCCCAAGCAGGCTCTGCACTGTCAGCACAGAGCCTGATGTGGGGCTCGATCCCATGAACCGTGAGATCATGACCTGAGCCGAAGTGGGATGCTCAACTGACTGAGCCACCCAGGCGCCCCCCCCCCCCCAATTTACATTTCTACCAGCAGTGGGTGAACATTCCTGTTTCCCCAGGTCCTCACCATCACTTCATATTCTCAGACTATTTCATCTTTGCCAATCTGCGAGGGGAGAAATGGTACCTTGTTTTTACTTGTCGTTTCCCAGACAATGAGTGGGGTAACACATCTTCTCTTATAATTGTTCAACCAATACATTTTTAAAACTCAACTACAGGGGGCGCAGGGGTGGCGCCTGGCTGGCTCAGTCGGTAGAGCGTGTGACTCCTGATCTTGGCATTGGAAGTTCAAGCCCCACATTGGGCACAGAGCTTAGTTAAAAAAAAAAAAAAAATCAACCACTGGGGATGCCCCAAGTTATCATTTCAAGGGATTCGTTTAAGTTTCAACAGAACCAAAGGGGCACATTCCAGTATTTACCAAATACTCCTATTCATTTACATCCCACTGGCAAGCCGGGGTCGACAGGCAGATAACAGGGGGGAAATGCTTAAAATGAAGTGGGAAGAGGGGCACCTGGGGGGGGGCTCAGTCAGTTGAGCATCTGACTCTTGATTTCAGCTCAGGTCATGATCTCACAGTTGGTGAGTTCGAGCCCCTCATCGGGGCTTGGTGCTGACAGCACAGAGCCTGCTTGGGATTCTCTGTGCCTCTCCCTCCTTCCCCACTCCCCGCCCCTGTCCCAACTCGGGCTCTCTCTCGCCAAATAAAGGAAGAAACTTTCAAAAAATAAAATGGTTTTTAAAAAAATGAAGTGAGAAGAACTTAGGGTAGACATCAAGAAGAAGTTTGGACAGCTCCTCGCAGCTAACTAGAATTCTACAGATATAGTAGAAGCGAATGTGCTATTCGTTCACCCTAATACATTAGTACTTTTCACTTTGGAAAACCTTTCCAAATGCTGGGAGATAATGCAAGAAATTGTAGAGAGCACTCTAGCACAATCCATAGCCGACACTCTTGGGCTTTTCCCCCTTTTGTCTCCTAGGTTTGTCATGCTGTTCACGGATGACCTGGGCCATATTTCCCAGTGGAGATCTATCATGGCGGGGAGTCTCGCAGGCATGGTTTCCACTGTTGTGACCTACCCTACAGACCTCATCAAAACCCGGCTGACTGTGCAGAACCTGCTGGAACCATCTTACCGAGGGATCTTCCATGCTTTTTCTACTGTCTATCAACAAGAAGGGTTCCTAGCCCTTTACCGAGGGGTTTCCCTTACTGTTCTAGGTAAGATGGGACTTTTCACCTTGTCCAAGAAAAGGCTGTGTTCTGTGATATGTATGAACGTACCGTATACCGTTGCTCGTAACCAGTTAAATGCAGCTTTTTGAGGTCGTGGTCACATGGATCCAATCCATATAGAGCCAGTTAGCTTGGTTCTATTCCATAGCCATACGCCCCACTTGCAACTTTGGCCTGTCACACCCCAGGGCGGGAAGGAGGAGACAGTGGAGGTGGCTCAGCCCAAACTGATAGGAAGGCAACCCCACGCACCCCATCTGACTGCGGGGAGGCGTCTCAGCCTGCACCCATGGGCGCGCACGACCAGGGCAACAACTGGAGCTTCTGTGGTCTTGGGAACCTTTGCCAGGGCTACAGACGCACGAGTCGCCCGTGTCCCCCAGTTGCCAGACGCAGCCAGCCGACTTTCACCCATTATCTGACCTTTGTTGCAGCGTTTGAGGAGACTGGCCACCCCTTCTTCCGGAAACTTGGCTTCTAGGACCCTACCGGCTTCTGGGTGTCTTCCCCATCTTTCTGGCTCACCTGACACTCTCCCCGGGGCTCCTTCCTTACCTTTCTTTCCACCCTCCATCCCCTCCCCGGGTGGCCTCAGCTAGGCCAGTGGCTTAAACAGGCATCATGATACTCTAATGACCCCCCAACGTCACCTCTGTAATAACAGAGACTAAGGGTTCCCCTGCTGCTTCCTGTGGCTCAAGCGGGAAGAAATTTACAATCGAAGAAATTTACAATCGCCTCAGCTCCGCTCCTCTCACCGCTGTGGCTTCAGTCGGCGCATACGTCGACTCAACCCCTCCACTCTCAGTCTGTCGCCCCCTCCTTCCCTGCACCCACTGCGCTCATCCTCCCTTCCCCGCAGATATGAGCAAGACGCTCCCACCTGGTCCCAGGCCCCGGTCTCTCCTGCCTACACTGAAATTAGCCCTTTCACCACCCCCATGACGCTGTCCTCCTTTAGAGCCTTCACTGATGGGCGCCTGGGTGGCTCAGTCGTTAAGCACCTGACTTCGGCTCAGGCCACCATCTCACAGTTCGTGGGTTCGAGTAGCACATCGGGTGAGCTCGAACCCCACTTCAGGTGAGCCCTGCTTCTCTGTCTGTCTCTCTCTCCCTGCCCCTCGCTCACTTGCGCCCCACCCCCTCTCAAATAAACAGATAAAGCCTTCACTGACTTCTGAGCTACAGGGGAAAGCCCAAATTCCTTATGGCACACCATCAGCTCCTTCACACACGTGGCCCCCATGGCCCATCCCACCTCCTCTCCTGCCCCGCCTCCACCTGCACTCACTCTCCAACCATACAGAAAAACCTGCAGTTTCCTGGAAACTCCACTCCCTCTGTACCTGCTGTTCCCTCTGCCCGGACTGCCTGTCCTCTCTCCCGATGTCTGGTGAACTCCTACTCAATCCTCAAGACCCAGTGGAAAAGTTCTCTCTTCTGTGAAATCCTTCCTGATCCCCCTAGGCAAAATTACGAGGATCGTCATGTGCCTAAAGAACTTTGTATAGCCCACCCCGCCCGCCCCCTCCCCCCCCCCTACCCAATTATGGCACATATCCGCTGCCTGTCCCCTCCACTAGAGGGTGAGTATCTCTAGGAATTAGCCTACTCTTTGTGTTTACTCCTCTTTGTATTCCCAGCAGCTGACACAGGGCCCAGCATATGACATAAAGTCCACAAATATTTTCTGAATGAAGGTAAATGCGGGGTTGGTGCTTCATGTTTAATGTGTTTATGAAATAAATATTATTGCATTTTCCTAAAGGCAAGCAACCCCACTGATGCTATTCCCTCTTTTAAATCTCATTTGAAGGAAATGTAGTACCTCTGTAAACTTAAGATAGCTCCCAAAGTTTCTGGAAGACCAGTCCCTCCTAACCGCTTCCAAAACCTGATTAAGTGCCACTCACTGACTTTTTCTTTATGGGAGTGATTTTTTCCCCCAAGATTTTATTTTTAAACATTTCTAACACCCAACCATCCAGATGCTACAATTAACTTTTTTGCTTTATCATCTATCTGTCCATCCCTCTGGCCATTCACCAGTCCATCTTCCATAATTTTTGATGATTTCCATGTAATTTCCAAACATCGAGGCACTTCACCCCTCAACCCGTTCAACATTGTGTAATCACTATCTAGAGTTCAATATTCGTTTGTGGTTCCTCGTAACGTAAAATTTACGTAAAGGGCGCAAACCTTTAGTGAACCATCCCATGCGTTTTGACAAATAACACAGCCCCTATCAAAATGTAGCACATTATCAGCACCCAAGAAAAGTTCCTTCCTACTGCTCTGGTGGGAGGGATTTTATTTATTTCTTTAAAAAAAATTGTTGTTTTAATGTTCATTTTTGAGAGAGAGAGAGAGAGAGAGCGCGCGCAAGTGGGGCAGAGAGAGAGGGAGACACAGAATCCGAAGCAGGCTCCAGGCTCTGAGCTGTCAGCACCGAACCCGGCATGGGGCTGGAACGCAGGAACCTTGAGCTCCTCCTCCGTCATCCGAGCTGAAAGTCGGACACTTAACCAGCCGAGCCAGCCAGGCGCCCCTGGTGGGAGGGATTTTAACAAGCCCAGGGCCGTCCTATTTACTTCACCGGGCTTCCCCACAGGCATTTCTGTTCTCACGCCCGTGTCGCCAGAGACAGAAGCAGCCTCTTCCTGGCCTCGTTTTGCAGGTGCTCTCCCATTCTCTGTCGGCTCCCTTCTCGTTTACGTGAACCTGGAGAGAATCTGGAATGGACCCCGAGATCGGTTCTCTCTCCTCCAGAACTTTGCCAATGTCTGCCTGGCCGCTGCAGTAACCCAGACCCTCTCCTTTCCTTTCGACACAGTGAAGAGAAATATGCAGGTGAGGGGTTATGTTGGGGGCGCGTCGCGGACGAAGGGGCGCCTTGACGTGGGCTGCAAAGAACACTGACCCTGAGTGATGCCGGGTCTCCAGGGTGCTCGTGACCACTCACGAAAGTCCTGTGCAACCCCACGCACCCTCCTCCCGGCATTTCTGCTACTAACCTCAGGGCTAGTGGCCCGAGCCAGGTCACCTCCCTGTTCCCATACTCTGCTTTTGTAGGTCCTTGTCAAAGCCTCCAGATGAGGCCCACTTTTCTTTCCTCTCTGCCTCAAAGGTGCCTCAATGAGGGAGACTGGAAAGAACCAAAATCAGTTTAGTTTAGTTTAAGTTTATTTATAATAATGCACATGGATTATAGAAAATTTGGGAGGGGCGCCTGGGTGGTTCAGTTGGTTAAGCATCCAACTTTGGCTCAGGTCACGATCTCATGGTTTGGGATTCTCTCGCACTCACTCTCTGCCCCTTCTCTCTCTCTCTCTCTCTCTCTCTCTCTCTCTCTCTCTCTCAGAATAAATAAATAAACTTAAAAAAAAAAGAAAATTTGGGAAATACAGAAAAGTATAAAAAAGAAAACAATAATTACCTATAAACCCAGCACCTATGCACTATGATTAATAGTTTTCCTGCATGTTTGTGTGTGTGTGTGCATGTATATATGTGTGTGTATACATAAATGTATATGATATATGTATATGGAAAGTTGGGTTTTTTACAAACTTGTGTCCCTACCACATATAAAAATTAATATCCTACTTTGTTCACTTATTATATAATGGATATTGCCCCAGGCCATCAGCTATTGAAAATGCCTTTTTAAATTTTCACATAATATTCCATTATACGGGAGCGCCTGGGTGGCTCAGTCGGTTGAGCGTCAGACTTCGGCTCAGGTCATGATCTCATGGTTCATGGGTTCGAGCCCCGCATCGGGCTCTGTGCTGACAGCTCGGAGCCTGGAGCCTGCTTTGGATTCTGTGTTTTCCTCTCTCTGCCCCCCCCCCCCACTGGGGGCTCTCGCTCTCTCTCGCTCTCTCTCTCTCTCAAAAGTAAATAAAATGTAAAAATATTCCATCATGTGGATGTGCCATAGATTTTTTTTTTTTTAATGATGACTTATTCTTGCAAAGTTCTTGAGGCTAGAATTTTAATATCAGGTTGATGCCAGGGCCAGGCCCCATTTGAAGGCTTTGGGGTGGATCCTTCCTTGTCTCTTCCAGCCTCTGGTCGCTTATTCCTTGGCTTATCCTCTGTGGCTGCATGATTCAATCTCTGCCTCCATTGTGCCATAAATAACAATTTCTTGGTTTTTAAATATTTAGGCTATTTCTAATTTTTCCGGGTGATAACGTTACAGTGAAAACCTTTGTATTTTTTTCACATCTGTGATGACACCCTTCAGCTCTATTCCTACAAATCGACTTACAGGTCTCACGATAAAAATAATTGTAAGGCTCTTTTGCTTTTTTAAGTTTGTTAGTTTGTTTATTGTGGGGGGGGGGGGAGCCGGGGAGGGAGCATCCTAAGCGGGCTCCACACGGCCAGAGGAGCCTTATGTGGGGCTTGAACTGACAAACTATGAGATCATGACCTGAGCTGAAACCAAGAATCAGATGTTTAACCAACTGAGCCACCCAGGTGCCCCCCCCCTTTTAAGTTTGTTTATTTATTTATTCATTCATTCATTTATTTTATTTTTAAAATTTTTTTTTTTTTTATACTATAAATCAGGGTAAGATGCACTAGAAGTAGGTATTCGGGGGTAAACCTGATTATCTTTTTCCCTGGTATGGAAACGTTTATTCTTGATAACAGATGCACAGAGCTTCAACAAGAAGCTTTAAAATAAACGCAAAGTCATGATGGTTATTGGAAAAAAAAAAAAAAAATCCCAAAGAGGTAATTGCATGGGTTTCATAAAGTATGATCAGCATCCAGTTATGAATAACATCATAAATATCACCCAAAGATATAGGAAGTGAATTCTTAGGGTTGCGGTCAAAGTTTTATTTTACAGGCATTAATAAACATAATAATACCCGGTCCACCCTACTTAAAAAAAAAAATTCACTCCCAAGACAGAACCACAGGCTGCTGTTCCATGGCAACATGCATTGCTTCCTCTGGCCATTAGATGTCGCTGCAGTAAACGGGGCATTTCTGAGCACTCAGGATCTTAGCCTTGCAGGTAGCGATCTCTGTCCAGTTAACAACCTCCTAATCCCTGCTTGAAATCCACCTTCAGTTTGGAGGGTAGGGAGCCTAGAAACAACAGGCTAACTCGAAACTCTGTTGTGGTGGGTTTTTTCCTGCAAGGCACACGATCCACATTCTCCAAGACAAAGCTTCGCTAGCAGCCCTCCCTCCACCCCCCCCGCGGGAGCCTGCCAGTTTTGCCAGTGGAATTTGTAACGAGGGGACTTTGCCTGGGAGCCAGGCTGCCCTGAACTGAGGACACTTGATGGCAATGTTTGCATTCCGCTGGCTTTCCTCCTCGAGCTGCCTGTCAGGAAGCGAATCCACGTCAGGTGTCTGTTAGATAACCAGCTGGGCGGGGAATTTTCTCAACTCCCACACTGACTGGCCACTTTATCTGAATGTCTCGTTCTCCTAATATGCTTTTGTCCAGATACACACACACATACACACACACACACACACACACACACACAAAATCTGCGCATCTAATGCCATATCAGGTTGGAACGCTCTCGAACATGAATGAGAATGATCAGAAGTCTCGTTTAACCAGCTGAACCCTTCCTTCACCATGCTTCCACTCATTTTTATTCCTTTCTCTTTTTCTCGCCCTGGCTCCTGGCTGGCATGCTAGGGAATGGGGAGGTAAATAAATTATGAACGTGCATGTTTTGAGGCAGTGGTTTCCGGTGGGAAGCGGGGGGTGGGTCAGCCCTGTGCACAAATGGCAGGAGGTGTCCCCCACCCGGTGTGGCACCTGAAATCGCCTTGGCCGCTCTTCAGTGCATCATGGCTCAAGCTCCTGCAGGCACAGCCTGTCCTTTTCATCTTCATTCTCCCTCACGTGGCCCAGAACGTGGGCCTGAAATGTGTATTTCAAGGCAGCACTGAGTGTACTGAGAGAATAAGTGGCACAGGGAAGATATTGACGGAGACTAATCCGTCTAATTAATCTGTGGGCCCTTAATAAAGGCTGGGGACGGAGTCCTAAGCAAAAGGTTCTCTGGACAGGTTCATGCGGAAGAGAGAGGGAGACCGGCTGCCCTGACACTCGAGGGAGCAGCTGAGAACATGGGAGCCTTGGAACCTGGCGGGCCCTCTGAGAGGGTCAGGTGGGAGGCACAGGGCACCACCTTGGTGTCGCCCTCCCCCCCCCCCCCCCCCGCCCCACACCCAGCCCAGAATCTCTGACGCCCTCCCCCGCGGCCCATGTTAGGTGTCTCCATTTCATCAAATATAAAACCGAGCGCCTGCCTGTTGCTCTGTACCCCAGGGGACTTTGACCCCATCAAGGCTCACAAGGCAAGCAGGATTGGGCCAGGTCAGCATTTGAACTGAAAGTACATAAACTGAAGGACAAAGGTGGTATCCGAGTGGCACAGCTGACCGAGCAGAATACACAGGGTCCCTGAGCGAAGAGAGGCCCCGGGCTGTTCAAACAGAGACGCTGAACCCACCCGAGATGCTTAGCACCTCAGGCTGCCTTTACCAAACGGGGCGCGCTGTCACTTGGTCCGTCCCCTCCCGGCACAGCCCTGTCCTCCTGGGTCTCACACCCAACTCCACGTGTTCAGCCCCGACCCACGCTCCTCGCTGCCCGCTGCGCGTGGTTATCACCTGCATACACTGTCGCCTCTAATGTAATCTGTATCAGACCGACCTCTCCTTCCCCTGCAACTTTGTGCCCAGGGCTTTCCATTTCAGTCCCACCACCCCCCACCCCCAGTCACCCAGACTGGCATTCCAGAAGTTGATGCTCACGCTTCCTCTTCCCCTCCCCCAGGCAACCTTGAGTCCAGTTGGTTCTTCATGCCTGCTGCTCCCACCCTGGTCTTTTTGTCGCGGTCCCTGCCCTAACCTAGGACCTTGTCAGCTCCTGCCCGGGCTATGGCAGTAAATCCTCTAACTGGGCTCCAGGATTAAATCCAAAAATGGGAGCGCGCCTGGGTGGCTCGGTCGGCTGGGCGGCTGACTTTGGCTCAGGTCATGATCTCGTAGCTCATGAGTTCGAGCCCCGCGTCGGGCTCTGTGCTGACGGCCTGGAGCCTGCTTCAGATTCTGTATCTCCTCCCTGTGCCCCTCCCCTGCTCATGCTCTCTCTCTCTCTCTCTCTCTCTCTCTCAAAAATAAACATTAAAAAAAATGTTTAATCTAAAAATGATCACAAGCATCGAACACTAACGTAGCAGGCACTGTGCCAAAAGTACTTCATGCTCATTATCTCATTTCATCCTTAACAACGACCCTACGAGGTGGGTACTGTTCATATGAAGCCCATTGGACAGATGAGAAAACAGAGGCACTGAAAGGTCCCAGGGCACCTGGGTGGCTCAGTTGGTTAAGCGTCCGACTTTGGCTGCGGTCATGATCTCACGGTTCAGTTCGTGAGTTCAAGCTCCGCATTGGGCTCTCTGCTGTCCGCACAGAACCTGCTTCAGATCCTCTGTCCCCTTCTCTCTCTGCCCCTCCCCTGCGTGTTCTCTCTCTCTCTCTCAAAATAAATAAACTTAAAAAAAAAAAGAAAGAAAGAAAGAAAGGTCCTGCAGCCTGCCCAAGTAACTGAGCTGTGATTGAAGACCAGGTAGCCTGGAGTGGCTCAGTCGTGAAGCACCTGACTTTCGCTCAGGTCATGATCTCACGGTTC